GAAAACACCAAACACCAAAGTCCAAATTGAGCATATTCCAAGATAAACTACTTTATGGGGAAAAGACTTGAAGAAAAGTCAAAATAAGAAGCTTTTAAAGTGCATAATTAACAAGTTGAGTTTTCATATGCAAAATGAAGGACCAAATGCAATGAAAGGGTGGTTGACTTTAGAATTCAAATTTGAACTACATTCCAACAGGATGAATTCAAATTCTTGACCTTTTTCTACCTACTTTATAAACGTTTTTATTACTAAATTCTACTTTCTCCTTTTTTTAATATGTTAGAGAAAACCATAAGACGAACAAGAAATAAAAATACCCACTAAAATATATGGTTTGTGATTCACATATTGTATAGTAATTGTTGGTTTGAAAATGATTAGATGCAACAAGTCAACTATGAAGAAGCAAGCATGGTATATGTTTGGTCTACTTTAAGAAGTTGAAGTCATTGGTGTTCACACAAAGAGGTCCAAATACAAAGTGCCTTTCTTTAATCCATCAAAGTCAACTCTTTTCTTTAATCCTTGTACCCAATCCACCTACACCATCAAACATATCTACCCCACTTGTTTTTTCTTCTTCTTTCAACTAACAACTAAATAATATCACATCAAATAGAACGTACTAATACAAATTGATAACTTGATTACAAAAAATGGGCATACGGGATTTTGAAAAAACTCATCCCCATCAAGTATATATATACATATGGTTTTTAACGAGGTAGTGTAGCCACTTCCTATATAGTAAGCGTGAGTACTCGGAATATGCTTTACCCTATAATAAAAAAAAGGTAGTTTTAAAAACTATTGTTATGATAAAGAAATAAATAAAAAGATAGTTAAATTACCTCATTACCCTTGGATAAGGTTTTAAAATAATTTATTCATCTTGAAGAAGATGTCAATCTTATGAGTTGTAACCTAGCAACAAACACCAAACCCCAACCACCAAAGTCCAAATCCACAAATATAGAGGATATTAGAATAGGTCAAAATAGATGCATTGAAATGGCATATATATATATATATATATATATATATATATATTTGTGTGACCCTTACAATTCAAGATAATAGGCCAGCTTCAAACTGAATATTTATCAGTTTGATCAGTTTTATGATTGTTACAAATTGGATATGACCAAACACAATGAAAGGATTATGGACTTTGGAATTCAAATCGGACCTCTTGCCAAGAGGAAGCTTCCCTCTCTTAGTCTGTTTCTATCCAATTCTACTTTGCTTTTTTGAAACCATTCTTTATACCTAAACACGTTTTATTCTTCTTCATGGTTTATAAGAACAAACATGAAGTAGCACGACCATACAAGAAATATATATGGTTTACATCTTATATATTACATGATTGTTATTAAATATATCTTGAAGTTTAAAATTGTTTATATTCAAAAAGTCAAAAGTATGAAACAAGCATGATGGAAGTTGAGGTCATTGATGTTCATACAATGATGTCAAGTTGTTGACTTACACAAAGTCAACCCTTTCTTTATCCATCCATCAAAACCAGCCCAACCAAAATAGCCAATCTCTTAATGAAATTTAATTTGAACTACTTTATTCCCATTTTAGCTGAAATCCATTACATAAAACCTATTTTTAAATTATTAAAAAAAAATGGCAAAAGAATATTAAAAAAAACCCTAAAGATTGGAATCCATGAGCAAGCAAACAATAATTATCATTAATATTCATGTTCTTGCAATCAAGAAATCTTGAAACAATCATTGTAACAGAGCTTGAAAACTCATCAAAAACTGAAAACCTAAATGAGTCTGTCCGAGTTGACTCAGTGTCATCATCCTCCACCTCTACATCTCTATACAAATTATTCCGGTGAGAAGTCTTTGAAGTTTGAATAATATGATTCATGCTTCTGACTGTAATCCACTCTTGTTCATCCTCCCAATTGGCCAAACATGAAGTTACAGAAGAATTGCCTTATCCTATCCCCCGGAGACTCGCCGGAAAAGTTCATGAACTGGGATGTATCCTTGATATATTATCCAGCATGCTAGTCGGAGAATCTTTTGGAAAAATTTCCATCTTTTCTGCACGTACGATATGATTATAAGAAAAGATGAATATATGCACACATTGGAAATGATGGCCTGTATATATGTTATATTTATGTCTGATGGGGCCTTCATATAGCTTAATTGAAACAGGTATGCATACATATATGGTTAACATCTTGAAGAACATATAATTGAGACAGAGGGACATGCATGGTATATACTATATATATAGTGGTGGTAACTGGTAAACATGCATTCACATAAGGATATTAATTATTAATACATGAGCACATGAATTTATGCATATAAATTAATGTGAACATGCATGGTATTTGAAACCTGCGCTGCGCATATAAATTAATGAATGATGCTGCAACACCATCCTCATCAACAATATGAACACCATCCAACACCTCGGATACAAGAATATTTATGGGCCTTCAAATATTTAATTAATTAACTCACAATTAAAATTAAAAGAAAATAAAGTAATTGATTAAGGATAATCATGCGATTGATTTTGGTGACATCATTCTCTCTAAAATCACATACGGATAATACACTAACCGGTATCAAATAATTATCACAGCAAAATCACATGACAAACAAACAGGTCGATTAATGATAATCGTTGGTTTTCAATTATCACAACAAAAATCACATAATTATTAGATGATTAGCACATCAAAATCATATCATAAACAATCTTCAATTTATCAAATCATTATTACACAATTATCGGCAACAAACACAAAAAATCTCGAATGATAATAACAAAATTTGAGGGATAACAGAAAATTATAAATAAATACTAATTTATATTTTGTATCATGTATTAACTAATTTAGATAGTCGGTCGGAAGTATTGTCGTGTTGTTATAAAATAAAGTGTTTGGACGTTAATGTCCTTTCCTATGTAATGTAATATGTATATAGATTATAGAAGGTGTGAAAAGGGAGGATGGAGGCGTTTGTGAATGAACCACGTGGCGAAAGGAGAAGAGGTTGGGCGGCGTTTAGTTGGCTTAAAAATGAAGCCCAATCACATGAAATTGAAAACACGGGAGCAGGTGCATGATGTGATGGCGACATTACCTCTCCGTATTTTTCACGTTATTCAGAATTGCGGCGCCCCTGGTAATAAATGTTGATGTAAAACACAAGTCAAATAACAAACTTTCTAATAAATTATATGTTGATAAAATGGACGTTTTGGATTACATGGGCTTTTAATTGGGCTTGGGCCTAAACCTATTTAGAATTAGATGTGACTTTTGGTTGCTTCCAAAACAACTCTAGTTATGATCCCTCCTACTCCTACTCCTACTCCTATTTAATCCAACACTTCACCATTCTATTCTGTCAAAACTATCACTCCTTTATAATTGCATAAATGGTGTTGCTGATTTTAGTGTCATCAAGTATTTTTTATGTAACTATAATTTACTTAAGATCGATTAAGGCAAACATACATAAATTACGTGATACGGAGTACACACTTACAAATGTTGCTCTATCTTCTTAGATCACCATAAAACAAGGGTCAAGGGGCTCAACAATCCGCTTCAATTCAGGTATCAGTTGTCGTTGGTACCCTTCAACTGTCACTAAAAAGCCTCCAGTCGTCACTGCACAGCTTTTAGCTTATCGTTGAACATGTCTTCGATGATGAAACGTACGTGTTGGTTCCAGAACTTGAATTCGATATAACTACCCTTTGACCTTATCACCAATAACTGTCGATCTCCTATTTAAATATGTAAAACGAGAATCTGAGTTTATATTTCGTTTTTCACAGCTTTTGGAAACGAGAGGAGAACTCCAGAATTATCCCAATATGAATTCGTGTACCCAAGCAAGGCTAATAGGGTCGAATTATTGTATTCGGAAAATGCTTTCTGACATAATTCTTAGGTTTTATACAGTACCTAACAAGTGGTAGGTTAAAATATGGGTCATTATTGAGAACCCACATCTCAATCATTGGACGAGTTGATCTCCTCAAACTTTTACAGTAAAAAACTATCAAACTTTGACAACAAAATTCAATGAAGGAACAAAATCAAACATTTAATGTGTAAAAAACTTTCACAGTTAGATCTAACCAAAAAACAAGACAGTCTCATAGAACCAAACGTTTCCTATATATATACATCCATATGTAAAAATAAAAAAGAGAGATAGGTTAACATGAGCATTATATCTATTCGATAAAAATAAGAAAATGGTCAAATTGCATATAAATCACATGTGATTTTATATTAATGGCCAAAAAAATGTGCGGGCAATCCTATGTCCGTGTGGCAAGGTCGCATTAATCACATGTGATTTTGTACGTGATGTTAGTGTAAAATCACATGTGATTCGAAATTTCCTTATTTTTTTTAAATATGTATTATTTTCATATGAATTCGTCTCTCTCTCTCTCTCTCTCTCTCTATATATATATATATATATATATATATATACACATGTTTGTGTGTGTGTGTGTTTGTTGAGAACTTCAAAATCTTTGAGATCCATGAGAGGTTCTACTCTAAGGTTTTGTTTTTCATGAATATTTTTCATTTAAGTATAGTATTTAATGTATTGATGAACATATATTCATTTTACAATGTGTTTGTTTCATATTTATTTGGTTCACAATGTAAAACTTTAACTTTTACGTGTACTTTTTGTTTCCCAAACACACGAAAAAGGTTCATATTGTAAATCGAGTATATATGCAAAACATATATATGTTAATCACTACAATAAAATCTAACAATATATAAAAATAACCATTAAAAATAACACATAATGCATCGATTTTCGAGTTTTTTTAAAAAGCAGTATGGTATGGTGATATGATTGAAATGGTTTTGGATTGGAAGGTGGCATGCCATGCATATATGATATAATGTATGTAATTTTTTATACTATAAAAACACAAATGTAATTGTTTTAGATTTCCCCAAATATATACTCACCACAAACTTATATATCTAATTTAATTTCTGTTGAAATTATTATCGTTATTGTTATCATTACCATGGCCGATAATTGATCCGATGGCTGCAGCTAAAGCAGCCATAAACTGTGGATCCGATGTCACGGCAGCCGTGGCGGCATCCATCAGCTGTTGGTCCGATCTCTGGACACCGGAAAACTTTGTTGCATTATTGTTGTACTGTTGTGCAGCAGCCAACTGTCCCGTAGCCATTGGGATGTTGGAGTTTTGATCGATATTACAATTCATGTTTGTCGAGAAAGGGAAGTGAAAGGGCGATGGTTGCCGGAGATCGTGGTGGTCGGAGGTGAGGTCTAATGTGATGGTCGGAAATGGGGCGGTGGCGGATAAGGTGGTGGTTAGATTTGGAGAAGAAAGCATGGATCCGGGTGAAATCAGGTTGTGGTGGTGGTGGTCGGAGCTTGAAATTGATCCGGACAGTAGCATAGAGGCGGCGGCAGAGGTGGTGGAAGCCATCGCCATGGCGGATTGTGGTAACGGATGGTTGTGTGTGCCTTCGTATGTTGTTATCAAAATTGTCTGATCTTCGGCACATCGTTGTACTTGTTTGCGAACCGGACAACCGACGGCCATGGTGCAACGATAGTAAGCTCGAGGACATGGATTCCCTTTCGCCAATTTTTGCCCGTATTTTCTCCATTGACAACCATCAGTAATCTGCAATAAACGTAGTTTCATGATTAGGGTTTATTCGGGTATAAACAAAATAATCTTACCGTACAATTAAAATATTCGCTACAACAAAATTCACATTATAAAACGTATAGATAGTTTAAGCCTCCTAATAAGATACTTCGTAGAACTTAGGATAGATAATGTAAGCGTCCAATCTAAAAATGTTACAATAGTTTTATAGAACGTCTGTAAGCGTTTTAACAAGTTTTTAGAACACTTTTAACATAAAGTGTCTTATTAGCTATTTTATAAGACACTTTTAAAAAATATTCTGTAAAATATACAAGACACTTATGTTTATACGACACTTTTTAAATAATATCATAGTTAATAAACGCTACAAATATCTGTTTTTAATTAATTATAAGTCTTACAATAAAAAACAACAATTGGTCAAAGTTTGAAAAATGGGAAGCTTTCGTAGTAGTCGTAGACTTTACCAAACTACATTATGCAAACTTCTACTTCTTTCTTTTATATTATTTAATTTGATTTTAAATATTCTAAAAAAATAATTATATTGAAATTTAAAATTAAAATTAAAATTAAAGATCGATTAATTCTACATACCATGGATGCTTGAGATCGAGCTCGAACCGATACACGAGCCCTTCTGATCGTTGCTTCAACCGCTCCTCCTCGATCACCGTCCTTGGGTGAATCGAACTCGCCATTTTTGTTCGTATCCACATTCGGATCAATCTTTATCGTTTGATTCAGATTCTTGAATTCCAAGGGAACCAACAAGCTTTGCTTCGTATCGTCTTTTGTCATAATCGACTGTTTTTTAAATAAATCAATAGATTGTAATTGAATATATATAATCTACTCAATAAATATGTAAAAAATTACCTTCATTTCGTCTATCGTTTCGCGAGTAACCATTTTTTCTTGAATGATTCTATGCAAGAAAACATATTTTTCGTTAACTTGAGCAAGCATCGACCGTAAACCTTCGTTTTCTCTCTTCATTTTCGCGAGATCCTCCCGTAGAATAGCAAGCTTTGACAAAATATATTTTCAATTCGTTACAAAATAATCATTATACTTGTTCCAATACAGAAAATAAATTGCAATAAGTATAAACATTAATTCTTACAATTATAGTTCTCTTTGAGAGAACACAAACAAAAAAAAAACACACACACACACACACACATATATATATAAACCCTAGCTAGCCAGGTTCATGAGAGAACACACACATATGTATATGTATAGGGTTTGTTCACTTGATATATCTAACTTTAAGATAATACACAGCAAAACATTTTGTAAAAGTTTAGTGTTACTTATGTGGTGTCATGGCTCTCACGAAAACAGTTTGGTTTTCACACGATGTAAAGTATATATGAGTTTAGATTTACCTTATGACCAGTTTGGTTGTCTGTATGTGGAGATCCACCATTGTTGCTTGTTGTACTTGTCGAACCGACCTGCGTGTATATAAACACATAGTTAAAGCAAATTAAGGTAAAACGAATGCAACTAGTCGTCTTTAACATATAAGTACCCGATCGAAATCACTCTAAACCGTCACAAGATCCTATAAAAGAAGTATTAATTTCCACACCACTAAAAGGATTCGATTCTCAATACTCTCCAATCGAGCATTCAATTTGATACTAAATTCATTCTTTTTATAGGTCGATCGAGCATTCGATGAAAAACAATGAGAAATAAAGATTAAAGATTGAGATGCGTGTAAATAAATAAACTTACATTCAAGTTGAGTTGGAGTTGTTGATCATATTCTTTCTCTTCTTTAACATGAATGCTCATCAATGGATTGTTGTTGTTGTTGTTGTCGTTGTTACTGTTTGAAAAGAAATCCATTTCATTGATGATGGATGATCCATTCTCATGGATAGTAGTCGTAGTGAGCGGAAACTTGTGACCATCGAATGAGTTAAGAACCATATTCTCACATCGAGCTTCCATGAACGATATCGATCGACAAACGATATATATATTATATATATGTGACAGTTAAAAATAATCAAGATTCAAAGAACCCTAGCAAGATATGTGCTGAGAAAGGATGAAGATGGAAGACAATGACTGAAATTGAATTTTGACGAGTCTTTGGATTGAAATGCAATGGAGTCGACATTAAGAAGGAGATGGAAGACGAAGACTTATGACCAAATGGGAACAGCAAGTGAGCATTCGAATATATATATATATATATATATATATATATATTAGTTGAATTAGTTGAATATTTATAAGAAATTAAAAGGGGTACAGTGAGGTAAGATGGTGCGTCAAGGTATATATACATACATGTGTCTGCTTCTCCAAGAAACTACATATATCTTAACCCTACACCACTAAATTTATCACCCATCTCGAACATAATTATATAGGGTTGGGTAATCTGATAACTGTTTGTTTTTATGAGACTCATTAGATTATTTTTTTCATATTTGAAACTTCATAGCAAAATGTTATGAAGGTAAAAAAAAACCCGAAGATTTACTTTTACAATGTTTTGTTGTAAAGTTTCAAGTGTGAAAATATGGTCTTATAAAAATAGATTGGTCTCACATGATCTCATATATATATAGGGAAGGGTACAAACGAGAACCCTTGTGATTTATAAGAACGCGAGAACAACCCAATAACTTCATATTGTGATAAAAAATAAAATTAAAAGATTTTTAAAATTAAAATTGAAATTTAAAAAAATTCAAAAAATATTAAAATTAAAAGGGTAATAATGGAAATGATATCATCAAATATTTTAACACG